ATTCCAGATTTTGAACGTGAAAATGCTGAATAAATTATGTCTGTTTCAATTCAGTTGCTGTTTCTCATACAAAAACATCAAGGCACGCGAGAGATGAAAACTTTCTGAACTTCGAAATCCAATTTCTACAAACACACAAACAAGACAGAGAGAATTATGAGAGTTAATAAATAAAAACGAGTAGAAGCAAAATTAGGGCATCGTACCCTGAAACGAAATATCAATAGGGACGGAGATGACACGGGTTTCTCCGCCGACGTACTTGAGGTGGCCGTCGGAGGGGCGGGGGAGGATTCTGCCGCCGTGGCTACAGAGGAACTTGAGGCGGCTTTTGGGCGAACCGGGGGCGGAGCTCGGAGCCGAACCGGTGGAGATCGCAACACCGTCTGCGGACATGATTAAATCAGATTGGAATCTCTGATTTCTTTTCCATGGAAGGAAAAGAAGGGAAGAAGAAAATGTGATGTGAAGCAACGGAACAGAGGAGTTTTAGAGAGAGAAAAATGGAAAAGAAAAAAAAAAAAGAAAGGAAAATGAATGAGAAGGTTTTCGAAATCCTTTTTCCTTGAGGCGGCAAAAGTAGTATTTATAGGAGCGCAATATTAATTGCTATTTCTCGATTTATGCGTTTCATCCTTGCGTAGGGCTATGCTAATTTTCTATGTATCGTTTCAATTTTATCCGATGTCCCCGGACAGTGCAATATTAATTGCCATTTTATTACATTTGACCTGTAGTTTTATCTTGTTTTATTGAAAGATTCTATAAATGATTTTTAAGCATAAATGTTGTATTTACTTTTAAATTAGGAGCAGCACGTGCGATGCATGAGACAACAATAATAAAGTGTATAAATTAAAGCAACAAGGGAAATTGATTAGTATAAAATAATTTTAAATGTTAACATTAATTTTTGTCTTTTATTTTATTTTTATGATATATAATAGTTCAATATATAATTTATATTTTTATTTCACACATTATAAAATAGTTATCATTTTAGAGTTTTTGTTTGGAATTAAGGAACGAAATTTGAAAACAATCAAACATTAACAATAAATAATGCTCACAAAAATACTTTTCTCTTCCCTTACACATACTTTAATACAATATTGAAAAAATATGGCAAATATACTAAACTGAAACTTAATTTAATCCACATTACTCCGTTTGGGGTCATTCCACATCACCCTGCTGGGGTCGTCTTCGTTAGGTCTTTGTGTTGTGTTATTTAGAATTTGTTTTCTAGCTTTGCTAGCCGGGTACTAGGCGGTCTTAAGAGCTGACCTCTCAGTTTTTAGCCGTTGGTTGTACTATTCAGCTATGGGCTGTGTACTTTGCACATTTGTGCGTTTTTATTTATAATATCGTTATCGTTTCAGACAAAAAAAAAAGAAACTTAATTTAAAAATATATGTATATTATTTAAATTTATAAAATTTAGTAAATTTTAATTACGTCAAAATTATTTTATTATTATTTATAATTTATAATAATTTATGCTATAAATATTTTGTTTTTGATTTCTTATCTAATGATTCATATGTCAGTTCGACAATGACTGATTTATCATTATAATTTGTAAAAAAGTACATTATAAAAGTATTTTAAAATATTTATAATCTAACAATTTACATAGTTGTTCATCATTTATCATTATAATTTGATATGATATATCATATTAGACCTGCTTTAATGGATCAGAAGGAATATATTGGGGATTAATCCTGCACATGAGATAAGACACATGCCATAATGGTATTGATTAAGTCAAACTTGGGCACTAAGAGCACCCACAATGTTTTGGGTGCATTTAAAAAAATATACATGTCATGTAGAAAATAGACACGGTCTAGAAAAATAAACTTTCCAATGCAAGTGCAATTATATTGGGACGTGCTGATGTGACAGCGAGAAAAAGAAACCAAATCTACCCCTTAAATCTACTTTAGACACTTTTATATATTTGTATCCATGTCATCCAAGACTTAAGTCTATTTATATACCAAGTAAGCAAAATTAGACCCAAAAAATTGCAGATGCTCAAAGGTACACCTCCCCTATACAAGGGGCCTAAAGTATCACAAAAATACATTCTCTCATATTGCATTTTATCTCTGGTGAGTGCTGACAGGCTCGACGTCGGGATCCCACCCGGCGTTGAGTTTTTGCAAGTACGGAGGCCGTCCGAGTTGAAGGAGCCTGGGTGAAGTCTATTTCACTATTATAATTTATAACAATATACATTATAATAATATTTAATCTTTTTCTAAACTAACATTTTACATTGTTTTTAGACAAATAACTTGCTGTTTATTATTATAAATTATAACAATATACAATATAACTCTTCTATTTTCCTTTCTATGTTAATAATGTACATGAATTGGTGGTGGGCTGTTTGTTCTTTGGACAGATCCAATGTATCTCAGGATATAATACAACTAAACCACATATATCTTGTGGTGATTGTGGAAATCACGAAACATATGCAAGTTTCAAAATTGTATGCTCGTCGCGCCCCGGTGGAGAAGAATTTGACTTCTTTCCCCTCGAGCCGGAGGTAAAGTGAGGGCCCTTCAACTTGAATAGTCCCTTTGCAATAAAACAAGAAAACAAAGATAAAGATTGGCACAAAATAACAAACAACACCAAAACAAAGTGAAATGTTGAATACCAATTTGGCCAGGAGTCAGACGAGCACAACGACAAGGAGATAAGCCACAGTGAGATAAGAGGGGCTCATTCTCGAGGAGAATTTCAGAAGATACAGTGGATTTATTCCACTCTTCGATTCTAAGGTCGAAACTAACACAAGAGGTAGGGACTGATAATTTACAAGTATATAACTCAAGACATGTCGAGTAAAAAAGATAGAGTAGAAGAAGGTTGAACAAAGAAATAATGAGCTTTCAACTTGTGAATGTTGGAGGGCATGCCATTTTTAAAATGGGCTCTGTTGCAATCTTGTATGTACAAGGTGCCTCTCTGGCCCTTAGCAATAAAATGGTAAAAGGAAAAAACCAAGATCGATACGACCTAACATACAATATGAAAGAATGGCTTAGATAACTAACTAATGGACGTAGTTTGGCGACCATTGTTTAATGGGGACCAAAACACCTTGCAGAGGTCGAGAAGGGAAGGGCTGAGAGGATACCTAAGCCCTAAGTTAATTTGATCTTTGAAAAAGGTGAACAACCGACGGAGGAGGGGGGTGAGGGGTGGAGGAGGGGTGAGTTGTAGACGTCCATAGGTTGAGGCAACCCATAACGTCAATCAACCGGAAGACAACACTAAGCAAAGAAGCTACCAAGCCAACCATTCTTGGTAGTAAGGAATGTGCTCGGTGGTTGGGCCGCGGTGACCATATTTTCAGTGGTAGTGGGAGTAGCCCCATGAATGGGTACACCTATGGGGATCTCATGGTTCGAGGAAACATGATGTTAAGGAGTAGATTCGGCATCATCCTCAGTGTCGGTTTCGTTGCGAAGTTGAAGTGGGCAGCGAGGAGGACGAGAGGTGGCCGAAGAAGGGCCAACCAGAGAAGCTAAAGGAATGGTTTCGACCTCAACAGAAGTGGTGGTCGAGGGGGGAATTGTGGATTAAGAGGACACATATCGCGGCAGAATCTGAAAAGGGGAAAAAACAAAAATGAAAGGGAAGAAGATTCAAGAATTGAAAAAGAGTGGTGGATGATGGAAGATTAACAATGCACTCAGGGAGGAAGGAAAAGAAAATTTGAAGAAGAAACTGGACATCATCAAACATGCAAAATTGAATAAGAACGGCGGGGTGGAGAAAAGAAAACTTACGCGTCGTTGTTGATAGTTAACGGAGGAGTGGAGATGCTGATGAACGGCGGTGGTCCAGGTAGCAGTAATTTAGAACACGGGTCAAACTCTTGTCGAACGTAGGGAAAACCAAGAGTTTATATAGAGAATTTTTTTGCAGAAGTGAGAAATTGAGAAAAGTCGGCCAAGGTAGCCATTTATAGGCAAAGAGAGGTGAAAAATATGGAGATCGATCGATTAGCGGTTCAGACGAGGTGCAATAGGCGAAAGGATGGGTCAAGTCGGACCGTCAAAATAAAGTGAAAATGAAGGGACATAATTATTTGGGCATTACATCAAGCGTGTTGCACAAAGCCCGCATGGATTGCGAAGTGCCAGGCGATGGGACGCTTTGGCTGACCGACACGTGGTGACGCGACGGTTTGATGGAACAAGCGTGGACGCGTGGCAACTATTTGAAATTCAAAAACAGGAAGAAGTCCGACAATAGTCGAGCAAGGCGCGATAAGGATCTAAAAGTAAGAATGAAGCTCGATAAAGCAAAAGGAGGGTACCAACATGCCCGAGTAAAAGAATGATTCATTTCACGCTTGGATCCATTCATCTCAACTCGACCAGAGTAGGGTGACCAAATGATATGAGATAACTACACTCGATCGACTAAATCGAAGAAGCAATCAAACTAAACCAACTTAGCCATCAGGTCAAACGGAGAGTTATGACTCCACAGCTAGAAGGATCTGCCTGCCGAAGAGGACATCAGTGGTGCGAGAGGTATCAGCAGGTCGAGTAAGAGCCTCTAGAAGGCCTAGTAGAAGCTTGACCTGAAAGAGCATCAGGTCGAAGGGTGTAGCATCGAAACTTGAGGTTAGCAATACGCCACCCCAAGGTAATCGAGGTCAAACGCCTTACGGAGAAAGCCAAAGGATAAGAGAGTATCTTATTATAATTAATGTTGCACATGGGCTAGGACACTCGACATTATTTGATTGGTCTATTCTCATAACCGTATGGGGTAGTACGGGAAGCTGGAGCAGCCAACTCATCATATCTAGGCAGCCTTCTAGAAGTAAGTAACACAATCCTATAAATAAAAGTAGGGTGTGCAATTTTTTAGTTGCATTCACTATTACACACACTTCATATTTTTCAAGTACTAACTTAAACTTCTAAGGCTCTTCACCGGAAATTCTTTCCAATGTGAGAGTTTTGCAGGTTCGAGGATGTTCAACCGACCATCATCTCGAGATTCATGCATTTCCAGCCTTTCATAGCCGGTTGGAGGTCTTTGCTATACCATACGTCATTATATTATTTTTTAACAAAAAAATACATTAAGGACTCATTTGTTTTACATTTTATTTTGTTTCTAAATTGATATATATATTTAATAAATTCATTAATTTATGGTACTAAATTTAATTGGGTCAAACATTCGCCACCAAATACACTAATGTCAATTTACTGGTTGTAATTAAAATATACGACCGAATTACAAATTCGTAATTTAATTCATTTTGGGAACAAGCAATTCCCAAATTCCATCTGTGCTTTACTCCAACACAATTTGGGTGCTTGCAAACCATCATCAAATGATTTCATAGCTTCAAAGACAGTCGAATCATATTCCGAGTCATTCAAAGCATACGTAAGATGGTTGAGTAATGACGTTTTTCGTTCAAATAAAGATTCGACTACAAGAAAAGCGCGCTCTTTCAAGAAAAGGCACACATATTGTACACAGGAGGATGATCCAAATCCAAATAGTATTTTCCTGTCAGAATCTGTGATGCAACGTGCCGATTGGCAGCCTCCGTGTAATGAACTCCATCCCAACTTACATACTCTCTGCTGTCATCACAACCTCCGGCCATGACCAAACTCCCGTCCACAACTGCTGTCTCTCCACAGCTGACCCGCCGGTCATAATTAAAGGGCGGACCTCCATATCCGCAGCAGGCCATACGTGGCTGCTTGAATCCTGCAAATACAAGTCAAATGTTGCAATTATAATAGTGTACAACCTAGATAGATAAGAGAAAAAGCTATTATTATAGGCTTTGGCGATTTGTTAGTCGACTTGAAAAAGGAAACACAATGTAATGATGACAATTAGACAATCGTACGAACCGTGTAGAGAGTAGTTTGCTATGAGGTCCAACTTGATGGAGAAAATATCGACGAGGGTGATATTTGCATCCGGGTACTGGCCTTGCAATTTCTTGGTGAGATCGAGAAGGTTGAGGTTGAAAATCCTCGCGACTCGATTGAGATCGCCGACACATCCGAGCTCATCCAGCTTAAACGGTTCTTCATTTCCGAATCCAGCAATGTTCATGGGCAAGCAGCCTAAAGGACCCGTGTTGTGGATCCAGAAATTTCTCCCCCCTTGATCGTATACTTTCTGAGAACAAAGTTTGTTACAGTGTTGTTGGAATATGATCTAGGACATTTAACAAACTTACAATAAAATAAGAGTTGAAAAACCTCGATGCCATTTTCGAATTCTAACAGAATTGTTGGAATCGAGGCAACAACTTCATCGACTGTTTTGTCGTCCATAAAGGGGGTGTTTAAGTCGTTCTGGGCTATGTCGAACATGTAGAGCGCCTTTTCAAAATAATCTTGAGCTGGAATATACTCTTCATACTTGCTTGCTAACAAGATTTGAACAATAACAACAATTCGACATAAAAAAAACGAAAACCCAAAATAACAGAGAGGCCATGTAGCTACACAGATTGTGACTTATATTTGAGTAGTAAGAAAATGAGGGATAAATAAATTACACTCAGTTTGTATTTCTTCAACTTTTGCCTTGAACCTTAGGAACTGAGCCACCTGAATCCTCAACGAAAACGGGCAAAGGGACCGTGCGGGCGGCTTCAGCACAGTAGCCCCTGCGGCCGCAAAATTGCAGCCTCGTCGGAAAACCGGCGCTCCTATTGAATCCAAATACGCGTTCAAAAACGGCAACTCCATAGCATCCACTGCCACATCAAAACAAACAAACAAACAAAAAGCAAGGAGTACTTTATTTATCCCTCATTTTCTTATGTTTGGCTGCAGGAAAACAAAATCGCCAGAAATATGAGAAAATTCACGATAAGCTTACTTAGAAAATCGACGATCAGCCGGCCGTCGCAGAACCTGCCGGAAGATCTATTGAAGTGCGTCTGGCCATTTGGCAGGTTAAGGGTTTGGCCTGTCCCGGCCACGAGGTTGCCGGTGTCGGAATTCGAGTCGCCGAAATTGAAAACCGCCGGGTAACGACAATCGACGGAGATGAGGATGGAGATTAATGTGAAGAGCAAGCAGAGATTTGGCGAGGTACAAGAGATCGAATCCATGGCTGGCATATAATAGTGAACAGTGAGTGAGTAATGTATTGACAAAAGACGATGGATAAAATCGAGTGATGGCATTACCAAAATAAGTAAATAATATGTCGCTGTTGGCCACTGGGACACCGACTCTTCTGTAAGATTGACATAGTCGTATTTGTATATAATAAAGGTGTGATTGGATATAGATTTCATTGAAAAAATAAAAATAAAATCATTTTTTTAACTTATTTTTAATTTAATTTATTATTTTAAAATTATCAATATAATTAATAATATCATTTAATTATTCTAATATATCATTCAATTATTCTTACACATCACATCACATCACACGATAGACAGACACGTGAATTTCATCATTCTTTGTCTGACCAACTGGACAGAAAAAAATAATGCGAAGCTTCGGATTTTTTTTTTATTTTTATTTTTTTTGTCAACAATCAACACTAATTCCTATTTTTAATGAATAAGTTATGAAGTATGTGATGAAGTATTACAGTTCAATAGAATATGGATTTAATTTGGTTTTGATAGTTTGTTTTTTTCTTTATGTTATCTATATTTAATTTGAGAGAGAGAGAGAGAGAGGGTGGTGACGGGTG